TTTCAGTCATATTTGGGCATGACCAAGACAAAGGCAAAAATCATTTTTACCATTTTATTTTACATTTTTTAGTTTGAATTAAAAAAAGTTTTCCAAACTAGGTGTATGTGTAACCTTACTGCAGTCTAATAATGCGTGGGCATGTGCAGTGCATGCTCTCTTGCATGCGGTGAAGTCATGGTGGTGAGTCATACAGTTAAGGAAAGTGTACATGTCGGGGTCATCTGGCGTTTGGATTAATAAGGTTATAAAATATTAGACATTTCACTTGTGGTTCACTTCTTTACTACACTTATCACTTTTTTATCCAAGACACAGGAATTCCTTTACTTTTAATTGTGTAACCTAGAAATAGATCATGATATGGCCAGTTTTACTACAATCAATAAACTAACATTTTGCATCACACTGTGTTGTACAGTAATGTACAACAGAATATAAACACTGTACTGAAACCTTGCTGCACTGCTTCTAACGAGATTCACTCTGCAACGTTACGTCACCACCATCAAAAAGATGCTCCACAGTGTGTGACCCAGATACGATACTAATATACAGTTCTCTACTAAACACGTGACCCAGAAACATGCATATGCCTCATCTATTCCAACATATCACATGCAAGGTGTTGCTCTCAGCAAAACACGGTGACCGATAGTTGACCCGCTGCGGTGGTAATGGTTTTGGGTTAATGCCTATGATTAAATTGACTGATGATAATCATTTATCAATATTCATTTATTAAAACTGCTAGTGGAGATTTGAATAATGAAATATGTATTTTTTTTTTCTTCTTTTTATCAGCTCAAGGATGCAATGAGGACTGCAGGAGGATGCCACCCCCTAAACCTAAAAGGAACCCCAACACACAATTGAGTGTTTCCTTTGATGAATCTTACATTAAGAGTCATGGAAGCAGTGGGATCTGTCACACCAAACCCCTCCACCACACCGTGTCCCCCTGTGAACGCAACTCCTCATCCCCACAGACTGATGAGAGTCCCACAGATGACTGTGAAGACGAACCTGTCTACATAGAAATGGGTGGGATTGATATAGGAATGAGAGAACCCTTGAAAAGTGAGGAGGAGGAGCCAGGAGAGTCTGTGTACGAGGAAATGAAGTATCCAGCCTTGGATGATATGGAGTACCGCACTGATCCTGTAGGATGCCGCTCGGCATGCCCCACCCCTGCACCCTATGACCCTGAGCCACTCAGCCGCTGTTCCACACCTCGTAACATTCCCCTCTGTGACATTCCTGCACCTTTTCCAAATTTACTCACTCACCGGCCTCCACTCTTGGTGTTCCCCCCAGCACCAGCCCAGTGCTCGCCCAACTCAGATGAGTCCCCCCTCACACCTATGGATGTAACCAAATTGCCAGTGCTGGAGAACCAGTCCTACAGCAAATCACCCACCTCTTCAACTGAGACTCCCTCTTCTGCTCACCTCCGCAGGGAGCTCACTGCCACCCCAACACTCACAGTCTCAGGCCGCTCCTCTGCGCCTCCACTCCCTTGTACTCTCTACAAATCTTCCTCATCATCCTCCTATCAGCGTAGCCATTCTGCTTGCCCATCACCTGTCAACATGGGACGTTGTCTCACCCCATTGAGCCTCATGCGCACGCCTCCATTTGATGCCCCCATGCCATTCCCTGGAGGGCTCCCAAGGAGTGCCTCTGCTACTCCACACGGCAAAGGCTCACCACCTCAGGATAGTGCTGGACGGCTCCATGGCTCGATGCAGAATGTGTCAACAGGTCGTTCACGGACGCCTACCAGCCCACTTGATGAACTCACAAATCTGTTCACCACAGGCAGGAACATGCTGAAGAAAAACTCCAGTGGCAAAAAATCCAAAGAGCCTGGAGAAAGTGAGTTATCTCAAACATTTATTTTTAACTTTATGACGTTTACATAAACAAAGTAGAAGTACTTAAAATGATTGGCATAAGGAAAGTTTATCAACCTGCAGTTTGCAATTGAATGGCAAACAAACACAAAAAACTCAGTATTTAATTCCATCATTAGTTATATTCCCTTTTAAATTGGGATTTAAAAAAATAACACTGCCAAATTTGAAGGCTGTACCACAATTGCTGCAATTTATGCAAAATTCTGTTGGTTTAATCTAGACCCCACCAAGCCAAGTCTGATACAGATCGCATGATTTAATCTGAGGAGATTAGAGACCAAAGCGGACAGCAGGTCTCTCAAACCTACTCATGGCATTAGGCTGTCAGGCAGGATTAGTTTTAAATATGTAAACATCATATTTAAATACACATATTTATGCCACACTCAAGACTCTGCCAAAATCCATGTATCTGAGGAAAACAAAATCTGCTCATAAGTGGACAAGTTGCTTATAGTTGACCAAAAACTGTAAAACAGTAAATCACTTACAATTATATACATATTTTTTTGTCATCAATAAATCTTACTAATTTTAAAAGATATGTAAATTGACAGTATTATTCTTAGACATATTGTATTATGACTAAAAATATATAAGTTGAGCTCAAATATTGCTAAATTTAATGATTGTGTTTTAATTTCTGACCCTCTAAACAACCAATAGAATATTGCAGAAATGTATGAAAATAAAGATTGTATTAAGGTATGTTGTTTATTAACATAAAAGTGGTAGTAATCAATTAATTAATGTGGTTGAACTGCAGATAAACTTTAGAGTAGACACATATCTACAGTGCTGGATCCATCGTGAACAGATCCATATATATATATATATATATATATATATATATATATATATAGGAATTGCTCAGAATCTCTTCTATCTATCCATTCTCCTTCAGTGCTCTTAGCAACTACAACATAGCAACAGAGGAAGGAAGAAAAATCCCTGTTTCTTATTTGCAGATTTCCTCCCCAAGGGTAATGCAGCCAATCACAGCTCAGGGCCAGCTGGTCTACAAACAAGCACTGAGCAGCTGGCAGGGATAGCATTGCTTCTGAACTTAAATCAGTTTTGTCCAATCAGCACATAGATGTCACATGATAAAGCCAATCAGGCAGTTGGTACCACTGTGCTGATGAGAAAAGTGGAAAAGATTGGATTCATTTTCATTTTGATGAAAGGGAAAACTGTAAATGTTTATATGTGCTAAACTGATGCATGTTTGTCCTAGCATGTTTAAGATAAGACAAGACATGATAGAACTTTCTTGATCCCGCAGGAAATTGTTGATTTACGCATTATTTTATTTATTTTTTTTGGTAAATTGCTGCTCGTTATTTGGAAATATTTAATATATGAAATGCTGCATTTAGGTGCCAAACATTCCTTGACATTTCTTTTTAATTAGCCTCTTGGTGGTACTTTATTATCCAGATCCATCTGGGTTTTTAAGAGTTCCCATATGTTATGAGCACATTAGAGGTAATCTGTTTTAACAAGACTTTTTCAATTATTAATTTTTACCCTAACACTTTTGTGTAAGCACATGTATGCTACAAAGCACTAGCAATTTATGTATTCTTCTATTTTTTTTCCAGTGTCAAGCATTTGTTCTACAGAATTATGGTTATTTTATTGTTGCTTACATTCAGAGGCAATAGAGGCAAAAACACAAGCCTGACCTATTTACCAATTTGTTAATCACCTCATTCTCTTCCATGTACATACACACATGAACAAGCTTGCATCCACACATAAGAAAATGGCTTGTATAACACAAAAAGAGATGGCTATGAATGTTGTGCACAATAACCATGACGCCATTAGAAAAAACCTTAACATAACCTATGTTAATTGCTGAGTGTATGCTGAACATATGATGTTTTAGATTTTGGATTATTTTTGTTGTTGTTGATTTCAAGCATTCCATTTTGAGGGGATTTCTTCTAAAACATACAATGAAAGATATATATTTTTTCTAGTTGTAATTTAATTATTCAACAGCAAATGACTGTATGTGTACCTCAAAATAAGACTGTTGATGCTTGTGGTCCCATGTTATGATTGAAATTGCTCCAAGGTTTTACTGATGCTACTTACCCAAGTAGTGAGGGACACCTAGTGAAGATTTGATGGAACTGCAGAACTAGTCAATAACGTGCACAATATTTACACATACTGATTGTATTTTTTCTCTAAGTGCTTTGAGCAACAATTTGTATTTATTAAATTATTTTTATTTTTGCTTTTGCAGCTGAGTCCAAAGCAAAGTCCCACAGTGAATCCAAGCGAGAGGGTAAGGAACGCCACAGTCACAGCAAGGAGTCCAAACGAGATTCCAAGGAGCGCCACAGCAAAGAGTCTTCTCATAGAAGAGACAGAGACAAAGACAAAGATCGAGGCAGCAGCAATGTAGATCCTCTGCTTCACAGACGTAACAGTAAAGACCGCAATTGTAGCAGTGTGGATGCACCACTCGTTTTCCGGGAGAGCAAGGATCAGGCATGCAGCGGACTAGACCCCATGCTTGTTAGACGAGACTCCAAAGACAGGGGCTCCAGCTCTTTGGAACCTGTACCTCCAGTAAGAAAAGACTCCAAGGACAGAGGAATTAATAATGGTGATCTGATGCCAAGGAGAGACAGTAAAGATCGTGGTGCTGGACATGGAATGGAGTCTTCACTAAGACAGGACAACAAAGAGCAACCACCCGAGCTGCTACCAAGACAAGACAGCAAGGAAAGAGTAAGAAATGGTGGAGACTATAAACATGAAATCAGGGAAAGACTTCTGGATCAGCCACCTGAGCTCCTACCTCGACAAGATAGTAAAGAGCGAGCCAGGAATGGCATGGATTCAAAACATGACAGCAAAAACAAGGCACCAGAGCTTTTGCCTCAACACGAGAGCAAAGACAGATCTAGAAATGCACCAGAGTACAGACATGAAAGCAAAGACAATCGTCCTGATTTGTTACCCACCCAGGAGAATAAGGAAAGAGAAAAAAGTGACACTGAACACAGATATGAAGGAAGAATTGACCAGCCTCCTGAGATTCTGCCTCGACATCAAACATCAAGAAGCAACAAGGACAGGACTGACATCAAGTATAAAGGGAGAGATACAAGCTGCATGAATGGAGGAGATGCTCCTCCCCCTCTAATACCTAGGCAAGACAGCAAAGATCTGAGTAAAACTGGCCTTGAAGTGAGAAGGGACAGCAAAGACAGAAGTCTTAATGGCTCTGAGCCACATCATTATGATGTCAAGTGCACCAAAAGTCCTTCTGCAACAGAATATAGGTGTGAAAAAGAACGAGGGTACAGATCAGATGGCACACCACGAAGAGATACCAGAGAAAATCGCAACATGGACCAATCCAAAGCACAAGAAAGGAATGGTAGCACAATGTCGGGACAGCATTCATCAACAGCTACACCTACTCACCATGGGAGACCATCAGGTAGCCCACCGATAACCACGGAAACACGCAGTGGTAAGAAACAATTCTCCGATTCAAGACAGAATAAAATAATTAGCAGTTTATGAATTAGCAATTTTCTTTAAGCTTGAAAAGTACAAACGTTAATGGTAAATGGACTATACTTATATAGCACCTTTCTATCTTATCAAGATACTCAAAATGCTTTACATGCTTTACAATCTGTGCCCTCATTTACCCATTCATACAGCACTCTACTAGATCTCTAGAAAGCTAAGTGAACAAATAATTTTAAAGAGACTAATCAGTGCTTTATCACATTCATACACTGATAGGACACACACAGAAGGCAATGAGGGGTTCAGTGTCTTGCCCAGAGACACTTCGGCATGTGACTGCTGGTGGATTCAAACCTCCAACACTCGCATTGTAGGATGACTGCTCTAACCACTCAGCCACAGCTGCCCAGTGTGTTATGTTGACAAAAAGCCTAACAGGATTTTTACCTTTCAGATTTGAAAACACCATCAAAGTATAGACGGTCACCATCTTTGCCTACCAATCCTTCCCCTATTGGGACGCCACAAAGGAGAGCATCAGAGACACATCAGAGTCAGGTATGCAATTAACTTTTTTCCTTTTTTCGAGTGGTTTTACTAAAGGTTTTAGCTTTTAAAAAACTCTAAAACTCATAGCATTGTTACAGTCACATTCAAAATAATTTGCACTAGCTTTAAAAATTAATTATATTTTGAACAGTTCAGACACTTTTTTTGAATTCATCACTCTTTTAGCACTACTTCATTGTGATTGCTGGCCTTCTTGAGTTTCAAATCACAAATTCATAAAAGTAAACAACGTGACATGTAGCATAATGTTGTTTGAATATACACTGAAAACATACACACAACAGTCAAACAAAAACTGATATTCAGTTTTAATTAAAAAAAAGATTGTTTAGTTATATATATAT